TCAGTCACCCCATGCCTGGGGCTTGGTGCTGCACACAGGGTGAAGCAGCTTCCTCCCCAGCAGCCCCTGTAAGATCCTTGTCACCTCTTGCTGCTTTTGCCTCCGTGAGATGTTTCTGCAGTATCAGAAACTGGAAAGCACCATGTGCCTCCCCAAACTGTGTTGCTTACATGTGTTCTGAGTCAGATAGAGCAGATTCTTGATCAGCAGTTATCTCTTTCAGTGCAACAAAACTAATAATGCATTTGAGACAGAGAGCATTTCAACAGAGCTATGGTGTGCAGAAGACTACATCAGAAAAAATAACAATCAATACTTTTAGAATTGAAAAGATTCACATGCACAGTGAAGATCATGAGGAATAGGTTAAGAAAAGTCTGTATCATATGAAAGAAACAGCACAGAAAGCTGGCACTTGGTGTTGTAGGGAGTAAAAATAAAACAAAACAAAGGGGGCAAGGATACAGGGAGTATGAGAAACAAACAGAACAAGCCCATGACAAGCCAGTGCTTCAAACTGAAGCTGGGAGGATGGGAAAGACATCAAACAGGGCAGAGACACAGGGTGGGGTGGAGTGTCTCAGTCCTCTGTCTGTCTCAGCTGGAAGGACTAGATACTAGTTAGGTTTTGCGTCAAGGGAGCTCACATTCAACCGAAGGCAGCCCTGACACAGCACAGACTTCATGTCCCTTTGATGCTAGAGGTTTCTGCGTCCATTTATCGAGGTCTACTTCTACTGATATTGAAAACAGAACCGAGATAGAGGAATGATTGAAGGAAAAAGCATAGCTTGCTTTAGCTACACAGCTTCTGAGTTTTAACACTTTTGCCCATCTTTTATTTTTAATTCTTAGACAGGAGTGCAGTGGAACCTGAGCTCTAGTTCATCACTTTTTCGAAAGACCTACAGGTCTTATGGAAGGGTGGTTTACCAAGAGCTGAAACAGGCAGTTGTGCTCACAAAGGGAGCTCAGACAAAGAAGGAAACAGAAGAAACAGGATAAAAAGAATGGGTATCTCTTCGACTTCTCACCCTTCTAAATGACTGTGGTTAATGGACTGATTTCAGATCATGGCAAACAACGCCAAACACATGATGTATCAGCAGCATTCTGCTTCCCCAGTTTGCTACGTCACACATCGTCACCAATGAGTGACAGGGTAAAATCAACTTCACTAATCTGGGGTAAAAAGAAGGTAAAGGACTGCATGTTATGTCACACTTGCAAAGCACACTTGTTTACATACAAACTGCAGAAGAAATCTCCAGGAAACAAGCAGAACAGTGGACAGGCTGATCATTTCCTCCTCCCCCCTCAACTGGGACCAGACTTAATGGCAGCAGAGCTCAGTACTTGCAGCAGACCCCAACAGGATCAGCTTTTCTCTGCTGGGCAGCCCACGGTTGTGAGCAACCCTGGCTGTTCTTACCTGTAGTAGCGCGACTGCAGGTAGGTGGAGCAGACTGCTTTGGAGACATGGCTGGCTGAGCCAAAGTCTATCACCTTCACTCTGTAGGGCTGGCGTGCAGGATCCACCAACATGATGTTTTCTGGCTTCAAATCAGCATGTATCAGACCCAGGCTCTTTAACTTCATCAAGGCAGTAGCCACTTGCTGCAGAATTGGCCGAATGTATTTCAGGGGCAAGGGACTGAACTTGTTTTGCTTTAAGAAATCATATAAGTTCTGTTCCAGCATCTCAAATACAAGGCATGTATGATTCTTGTGTTGAAAGCACTCGTAGGAGCGAACAAAGTTATACTCATCAGCATTCTCACTGCTCAAACGAGAGAGGATGCTCACCTCTATCTGGCCCTGCCTGGCGTAAGAAGGATGGTTCTTCAGGATTTTGATGGCTACAATCTCCTTCGTGCTACGCTTCCAGCATTTCGCCACCTGCCCAAACGTCCCTCGGCCCAGGAACTCCAAGACCTCATAGCTGTTTGTCATAGAGCACAGGATTTCATGCTGGACCAGCTGATAATCACCTTCACCACTGGAACTGCTGCTTTTGGTGGTGACCGTGGTGGTTGTGGCCGCAGCACCCACCGCAGGTCTGTTTTGCAGCATGAGAGGTGGATGTTCCTCAATTATCTGCACACTACCGTTGCTGTCAACCTCTTCACTTTTCCTTTTTAATCCACATTTTTGGTAGGGTTCCAGTAAAGAAACGTTGCTCCTGTGTGTGAGGGTCTGGCTGCTCTGGAAGGACGCGGTGGCGCTGCTGCCCGTGCTGTCGGCTGCGGTCACCACGATGTGCTCAACCGAGGGAGCAGGGAGAAGGAGGTTCTGGTCGTAGGCAGGGATGCTGAAGTTGGCTGCCTGATGAGAGGAGCTCGCTTGCCCTTGAGCTGCTGGGAGGTTTTTGTTGTGGGTATAATACTTGTCACTACTGCTCTGTCCTGAAACATCCCAGACAGAGGGCTCCACTTTCAGTTTCTTGGCACTGCAGAAGGCACTCGAGGATACTGACGGAGGGGAGAACACCTGCAGCTGTGAGGCCATACCTGGAAAGGAAAAGGAGAACTCATGACGACTGCTCAGAGGCAGCTCCGATGGAACGAGACCTTCCACCTGCACTAGACACAGGACGACAAGTACTTTCCTAAGCACCACATGGTGCCCACCACCTCAGAGGGCACTCTGTGGTCCTACAGGCACCCGCAGAGCAAGGCTCCCCGGTGGAATGACCACATCCTGCCTCACTGCCCAGAGCACGGAAGCAGATAGCTCTTTACCCAGCTTCCTAAAGGTCAGGAGATCCCCGCAAGAGATGGGAAAGCAGAGGGAGGGGAAGGGAGCAGAGAAGCGGGAAGACGCTGAGAAAATTCACTTCGCTTTCCGTCCCC